CACTGATTCGATGCACCGAGTTTTTCAGCTAATTTCACACAAGGGTGTGATGACTGCTTGTGAACATTAAGGTTAGCACCAAAATTCTGTCTTCCAAGATGTAGAACTGTATTTAATTAAGATTATTTAGCTATAAACTTACTGTATGCAAGTGAGCAAGGATTAAGGTTGGACTAGAATCTGCTTTAAATATTTATATTCTATCGTAATTGTAAGTGACATGCAAAGGCTTCTAGAAGGTTTTGTCGTATATATATTATATATATATATATATATATATATCATGCAGTACACTGGTACGCATATATGCACTACTGTTTATATATTAAGCTTAGCCTATCTGATAATCATGAAGGAAACGAAATTTTATCAAATTCCAAAACCAAAATAATTGTTTCCAACAAAGATATGTTCCCTGGAACAAGAATGCAATACAGCACTTGACAATTTTAACAAACTTCCCTCTTCTATTGTATGGATTATTTGATGACAAGGAATTTAAATTGCATTTGGTTTTAATATCAGTTTAGATTGTAACTTCCAAACACTTATCATTTTTATCATAGATAAGAATCATTAATATTATTGTTGAAAAATTATCACTTTCTTCTGAAAAGAAAATGTAATTTTGTAAACCAAATTTTGAAAATTTCCATAATTCTGAGTAATCAAAGTATCAGAAAATAAAACATTTGAGCGATTTTTTTTTTTTGACATATACATTAATAGTATTAATGTAAGTAAAGTGGAAAGTTATGTTTGAATTGATTTATTATTTGTTCATACTTGCATAATCCGGTTCAGTGCACTATGTCTTTCTTACACTTTGTCATTTTATTGTTGTTTTTCCATGATAATATATCAATCAATTGATTTGATTATTGACTGACAGTTATGTATCTCGATATGTAAGCCCTATCAATTACTATCAGTTCATGCCGGAAGCAGAATCGGATATTATCATTGTGAAATTTCAAAATTACTTGATATCAGTATCAAAATAAGTGATTTTAGAGTTTATTTGGTAGTGATATAATGCTATCTGTTATCAATAGATAAGCAATAGAAACAGTTGCATTTACCAGTAAAATGTTTCTTTTTTCTTTTTGTTGCAGTCTTGTCTAAAATTTTATACCTAACATAATGTTATATTGATAAATCATTAATTAAATTACCGCTAGTTTAATGTGCTAATAAGATGGATGGTAACAATTAATTCAAATTTTCTACGAATACGAGAATGGAAGAGAAAGAATGATGCAACAACAAGTTAAGATAATCAGTTTTTCAGGATTTTATTATTTCATGCTTGAATTATTATCAAATTTTAATGCTGAAATACATTGAAATAGCTTTCTTCTTTTTCTCTTTACTCTTAAAATATTAATTCATTGAGTATTGTCTATAAAAAGTTTCAATTAGAACTCAATTTCATAATTTAAAGTTTTCTTTCTTAAAAGTTTTGAAATTTTGCATAAATATTATATAACTTCAAAATATAAACATCGTTTTTTTTTTTTAATATAATAAGTGAATAATTTAACAGCTAAGAAGATTTTTTGTTAAGAAGTTGAAATTTAAAATTGAAAAACAGAGCAAATTTCCGACAAATTTTCGATAAGGAAGATTTCAAGATTTCGTTGAAAAAAAAAAAACAAACAAACTGATTGACAAGTAAAAATAACTGAAGAGTGGAAAAGAAAATTTCAACAATAACGGGTAAAATTGTTTTTTTTTTTTTTTTTGACAAATAGAAAGTTTTACGAATAGCTTAAGATGAAGAATATTAGGAATTGGAATATATTCTAATTTCACATATATTAAGCAGAAAATAAAATTTAAAATTTGGTAGTAATTTAAAACTCAAAATTTGAATTTTATGATCAAAATTTGTTACGTTTAGCTCAAAAACCCATTTGTTATGTTTAAAAAATTAATAAATAACTACTTTACCATATATTTGAGGAAGTTGTCAATTTTTAATTGACATTTTTTTGTTTGATCCTTGCTGTGGCGTAATATCATCAAATTACCAGAAAATAAACTCAAAGATCAAGAAAAATACAGTATCATTTTACAATGATATATGCAAAATTAATATTTATAATCAAGAAAGTATTTTACTTTCATTTTCCAAAATTTTAATTTAAATAATTGTTTTAAGCTAATTGTTAAGCTGTTTTATAGATTAAAAAAAAAAATTTGAATCATGATTAAAATCAAAGAAATATATATCAATCATTTTAAATGATCAAAATTAAAACATTTTCGTTTAAAACCTTCCACGGTACTATTTGACTATTATATTACGCATACGTTTGAATGGTACACGTACGAGGAGTTTATACGCATCTGATGAAGCTGTCAGCATTTCTTCCACATAGAAAATGCTATGTAAATAAAAAAAAAATACCTGCACAAGAAGGAAAATTGCTAAGTAAATAATAGAAAAATGAACAAATGCTTTCAACAATTAATCAATAATTGATTTCATCAATTTTTTTTGTTTTTCAAAATTTTACTCCTTGCAAATATGATCATAATTTGAGTACTATTAGAAGTGATATTTACGAGGACAATATGTTATTAGCTAATTGAATTAGTAAATCATTTGTTGTAATTTTAATTGTTTTATTTGATTTACCTGAAAAAATTCGATGATTTTTTTCGATGATATGCATACCAATAAGCTATACGTCATGTATACTTAACACTGAACACAAGCACGTGTCTTACGTGTGTAGTTTTCTGTATACTTGCATGAATGATTACATTTACGTGAATTACGTTTTTCATTTAATTAAATTTTATTTATTCTAAAATAATAGTAATAGAAACAATCATATAGTGTAATCTGATTATCAACTATTATCATCTATTATCACAAC